ACATGTATTTGGTACAGGGACTCACTATACAGCTTGGACTCACAGTGATCCTCGGGGCTGGGGATTTGGCTCAGCGGTAGAATGCTTGCCTGGCAAGCTAGTAAGCCCTGGGTTCGGTCCTTAGCACCAAAAACAAAAACAAAAACGAAAACAAAAAAAAAATCAACCTCCACTAAAAAACAGTTCAACCAAAAAAATACAGTAGAATCAAAAAAGACCAAAAACAAACAAGGCAACTCACAGTGATCCTCCTGTTTTCCGTCTCCCTAGCTCTGGGATTATAGGCATGTGCCACCATGCCCAGACTTGGTTGTGGGCTCAGCGTACCCCAGGGATTAAACTCTGGTCCTTGTGGCTTGCCAAAGCAGGTGCTTAGTCTGCTAAACTATCTTACTGGCCCTTACAATGAGTTTTTACTCCCTTATGCATTGAGAAAACATTTCTTGAGCTTCAAGGCCCTGCTGGGCACGGTTCCTGGGCATTAACAACACAGCTGAAGCTGGGGATGGTGGCTCACTCATGTAATTTGCAGCATGAGAAGCTGAGGCAGGAGAAGGCTGTGAATTCAAAGCCAGCCACCCTGTCTTGAGAAACAATATAGCCATGAACAAAGGAGGAAAAAAATGTTCTGCTGGGATACAGCTCAGTGGCACAAGCACCTGTTTGGCAAACACAAGGTTCTGAGTTTGATTCCCGGTACAAAAAAAGAAAAGAAATATCCCACAGCCCCAGGAGAAAGAGATAATAAGCACCAAGACAGCTTTCTTTTTTGGGGGAAGGGGGGTGGGGCAGCATAACTGGAATAGAATTCAGGATTTTGTACTTTCTAGGCAAGCAAAGACAGCTTTCTTGGTGAATGAGCCCAGGAGAAAAAGACATCCAAAAAGGGAGAAGAGACCAAGGTTGTAGCCAAGAGGTCTAAAAAGGGGTCCCTGTGAGAGGCCAGAGGTGGTCCACAGAAGGTAACAGAGGAGAGCAGTGCTTGAGTGTGCACAGACCCCGGCGGGAACCACACATTACCAAAAACAAGCAGCAGCCATGCTCTTACTGAATAACCAGGTCCCTGGGTGGCTGAGCGCAAGTTCCCTTCCTGCCCTGTTTTGAGAGGTAGAAAGGAAGGTGAGGAGAGAGCCAAAAGAACAGTTAGGAGGCTTGGCAGCCTCCCAGGGGTTGTGGTGGGAGCCTGACCTGGGGTGGGGAGCAGGAGTTACATTCTGGATTCTGACAGGAGGAGGAAGGAAACCCTTGTAGAGGGGTACGGAAAGGTTAGCAAGGATGACAAGATGCCCGAGTTCTCGGACAAGGCATCTAAAAGAAATCAAGTTGGTATAGCTTACTGCTACTTTAAAAAACAAAACAAAACAGTTGCTGAATGTAATAGTGCAAGCCTGTGATCCCAGCACTGCCTTGAGTTCAAGGACAGCCTGGGCTACATAGCGAGACTCTATCTCAAACAAACAACACCCCAAATCAAAAAAGGACCAATTATCACTTAACCTATGTCACATTATTCATTCAGCCAAAACTGAGAAATACTGTATCTTTGGGTAAAGGAAGTTGCTCTGGATAAATGGCTATGCATAAGCTATGGGGAAACAGGAAATTTAGATTTAATTTACTTCATAATGTGTGGATTTTTTTATTTTTTGAGACAGGCTGTCTTGAACTCACGGCAATCCTCCTGCCTCAGCCTCCTGAGTGCTGGGGTTACATACAAGTGTGTGCTACTACACTTGACAAGAGTTTTTTAAAATAGAAAATATAGTATTTTGTAATTTTTAAAAAACCAACTAGTTAATAACTTAGAAGAGCCTGATGTGATGACACATGCACATAGCCCCAGCTACCGAGGAGGCTGAGCCAGAGGACTGGTTTAGCCCATGAGATCAAGATCAGCGGTGTGTGTGTGTGTGTGTGTGTGTGTGTGTGTGTAGATCAGCTGAGGGAACAGAGCGAGAGGCCTGTCTCACAAACACAAACAAAACAACAACAACAAAAAAAAATCTGTCGTTTCTTCCAGACAGATAAGACTTTGTATCAGGCCAGTCTGTCTATTCTGTTCTGCTGTTGGGGAGAGGATCTTGCTATATAGTCCAAACCAGCCTGGAATCTATCCTCCTGTCTCAGCCTCCTGAGTGCTGGGATTGTAGATTATAGGTGTCACTTTGCCTGGTCTGGACGGGCTTCTTAAAGATCCTACAGGAATCTTACAGACACATGGTTTTTGTAACTGGCTTTCTCGCATGCTTTTTCCAGATACTTTTCTTCAGCACTGCTCTACACTGACGCCAGAGCAAGGGTCCGTCACATGTATTTAGCACACATAAGTCATCACCCTCTCTGCATTATGAAATGCGCCATCTGTGCCAGCATCCCCTGTGCTGTAGTCTTCTGAACACACTCTGTGTGCCTGTGATAGGTGTCAAAGGGCGACGCAGCCGCAGTGGGGGCACTCTGTGGGCCAGACCCGCCCCTCAGGCACGCCATCTGACACTCCCACTGCCACAGTGAAGTCACCCTTACCATGGCCAACTTCCTGGATCCTTAGTAAACATATCACCTTGTCTTCTTTCACTGCTAAGGTTGAACACTTTATTGCACTTACTGGTGTTTGTCTGTCTTCTTTGTGACCTATCTTCTATAAATTACATGTTTTTTTATTTGCTACGGTGCTGTGGAACTGAATCCAGAACCTTGTGCATACCAGGCAAACCATCTACCTTTTTTTTTTTGGCTTTTTGGGACAGGGTCTCACTATACCATTCAGACTGGTTTTGAGCTCACTTTGTAGCCCAGGCTGGCCTTGAACTTGCGACAATCCTCCTGCCTCAATCTCCCAAGTGCTGGGATCACAGACATGGGCCACCAGGCCGGCCTAGTGCAATCTACCATTGAGCTACATTCCCTAGTTCTGAAAGTTTTAGATACCTCAGTACTCTTTAGATAGCAAGAATTCAAGCCCTTTGTTTATATAAAGTTGTTGTTTTTGTTTTTGTTTGGTTTTCTGAGACAGAGTCTTGCTGTGCATCCCAGGCTGGCCTCAAACTCTCAGTGATCCTCTTGCCTCAGCCTCCCAAGTGCTAGGATTACAGGTGTGTGCCTGGCTTATTATCCAAATTGTTTGAGCTCACTGTAAAGTACATTGTATTTGAAGTTTAATTTTTGTGCAGTCAATCATATCTTTTTATGTGGCTTTTATCATATGAAAAATTCTTTTAATGTAAACTTGGTGACTTTTCCATAAGATGAAGATCTTAATGCTTTATCCTTCTTGTTTGCTGAAACAAATAGCTAGGTATAAAATTACTTCCTATTAAAGTAACTCAGTTATCTCCAAATTATAATTTAAGGCATTTCTTATATAAAGAATTTTGATATCACAATATAAAAATCTCTTTATCCCATCTGCATGGTGCTGTTAGCTTTGAAATACTATGTCACAGAGCCAGGTATGGTCGAACAGACCTATAACCCCAGCACGTGGGAAGTAGGCTGAGGCAGGAGGATAACCAAAGTGGGAGACCAGCATGAGCTACATAGTTAGATCCTGTCCCAAACAAAATAAAACTAAACAAGGACATCATGAAGGCATTCAGGAGGTGACCGCAGTAGCAAGCAGGAAAGTGAAGTACCCCTCAGGCAGTCACCTTCAGGGCAGGCAGGCCGAAGCCGTCAGTGAGACGATGTGCTTCCTCTTCAGAGATCTGCTCTTCACTAAGTCCCAGGCCAAGCTCCTTGAAAGGCACCACGCAGAGGTAGTTGGTGACATTGTCACTCTCAGAGTTCAGGGGGTAGGTTAAGTCAGGTTAAGGCAATCAACATACCTTGTCAGCACAGGAACACTGCCCTTGCCTGGTCCTGCCACGTACACTCACCTTGAGCTTGAACTTCTGGAGATTTAGAACCAGTTTTTAGGCAGAAATTAGACTAATATATTAACATAATATTCATGATTCTTGAGAATACAATTTTTTGCCTCACATGTAAATATTCCACACTTTAGGAGTGCTAAAATTTTGATGATTTTTGTTTTGGTCTTGGCTGGCTTAAAACTCTTGGCAATCCTGCCTTAGCCTCTCAAATGCAGGGACTATGGGTGTGTGCCACTATGCCCAGTGTCAGTAATTTCTGACATCTATCTTTTGAGATGGCACTGTGTATTTACTGTGTCATGGCTGGACACTCACTAAGCTGCTATAAATCCTCCCCCTGCATCCTGCAGGACAACAGGAGCCGAACACCACAGTGACAATGCGTGGAAGCAGCACTTGGTCTCTTCCAGAGTGCAAGTCAGACTGTTGTGATGTTTCCTCTCTTCCTTGAGGACATCTATAAGTATCAGTGAAAAACAGCTTTTCTCCTTCCATTATTTTGTAAAGAATTATATCCATACAATTCTCAAGACCAAACCATCTCCATGTTTTTCATGTTTGTCTCTGGTCATATGATGACCATCTTCTGATACACTGCTAGGCTAAATTTATAAATACTTTATGAAATCTTTTGTATATTTCTAAGGTGGTTCTACAGTGTTTATTCTTCATAATATACCATGTTTGGATATTGAGATTGTAGTTTTTCATAAATAAAATGATGTGGGGGAGCTTTCTCACCTGTTCTATGGGCTGAAATCTTATTTTTAAATCATAAAATCTTCCGAACCTGGAGATTAAACTTGTTTTCCAAACAGCTCTCTCTCTCTCTCTTTTTTCTTTCTTTCTTTCTTGTGGTACTGGGGCTTTCCAATTAGTTTTTGAACTAATACATTCATAGAATTAAAAGTTCATAAGGTGTTATGGGGGACAGGGAAAAGTGCTTCCCAGCCCTATCCCTCAGTCACCCATTCCACAGGCATGGTAGCGCACGCCTATAACCCTAGCCCTTGTGAGGTCAGTAAGAGGATCCCCTTGAGTTCAAGGCCATCATGAGCTACATGGTGAGACCCGATCTCAAAACAAAACAAAACAAAACAAAACAAAACAAAACAAAACAAAACAAAACAAAATGAAATAGAAATTATCAAGTCCCTTCCTCCTCTGGTTCATGTTTTTTAATTTTTTTTTTTTTTGGTGGAACCGGGGATTGAACTCAGTCCCTTGTGCTTGCCAGGGAAGTGCTTATTCTACTAAGCCATCTCCCTGGCCCCCCTCCTCTGGTACAAAGATTAAAGTCATGCTCTTTTGACTTTATTCTTTGGACCAGAGGAGAAAGGGACTTTGTAATTCTTTTCCCCATTAAAAATGAACTGCAGAAGCAGGGACTTTTTTTTTTTTTTTCCCCTGTCTGTTCTTGTCATTTCCTCTGGAACACATTTTCAGCTTTAGAAAAGAAATCAGCTTTAAATAGGCAACTATGGGGGCCGGGGAGATGGCTCAGTGGAATAAGCGCTTCCCTGGCGAGTGCACGGGCCTGAGTTCAATCCCCAGTTCTGCAAAAAAAAAAAAAAAAAAAAAAAAAAAAAAAAAAAAAAAAAAAAAAAAAAAAGGCAACTATGCTCTATAGTCTAACGGCTGTGCTCAGGACTTTGGAAGCCCTGTTTTTTCTCACACAGACAGAAAAGGATATTTTTTCAGCATGTGCAGGGTGGCCAGCCTTGCTGCTTGGAAGTTAGCATGTACAGTCCTGTAGACAGCTTTCCGCAGGCCAGCGAGCTGCGGACTGCAAGGCTGGCTGGCTTTATTAAACGAGCAAGCAGCACTGACCCTGTCAAGCAAACTTGAAAAGTAAAATGTGATACAACTATACAGGTGTCCTACAGTTGTTGTCCTAAACCCACAGTTCTATTAAGCTTACAACAAACATTTCTTTCTCATAATTCTCATTAGAAAATGATTGGAAGTATCCCAACTTAGATGTAAACAGCCATTTTCCTCCTACATACATAGCCCTCAGAAAAAGAGCAAGTTGTTCACTCTCAAACTCTCAGAGAGGAAATATTTCCTCCAATTCAGAGAAACAATGAATTTTAGTTGACATACAACAAAACCAGGAATATTTATGTACGAATTAGTTTTTATTTGTTTCATTAAGGTACTTTGCCTGCTAAAATACACTAAAGTGGAATTACTTTACAATCAGTTTTCAAAACCTATATTCACTGGATGTATGAAGGGCATCATTATCAACATATTCCAATTCATCTTTTTTTTGTATTTTAGGGCAGGGTCTACAGGGTGTTCAGGGTATTAGATCACACTTGTAGTGACCCACGTGTTTACAGCCTCACAAGAGCTCGGATTACAGGTGAGTGCCACCACACCCAGTCTTAATTGCATTCTCAGGGGTGGTAGCTGGGGTGGTGAGGTGTAGGGGGTGGTGGCAGCAATTTCTTTTTTTAGGCTTTTTAAAAATGTACTTGGGGCCAGGGAGATGGCTCAGTGGAATAAGTGCTTCCCTGGCAAGCACAAGGGTCCGAGTTCAATCCCCAGTTCTGCAAAAAAAAAAAAAAAAAAAAAAAAAAAAAAGTACTTTGTGCGGGTCTCACTACGCAGCTTGGACTCGTAGTGATCCTCCTGTTTTCAAGTCTCCCAGTGATGGAATTACAGGCGTGTGCCACTATACCTGGACTCTGTCACCAGCTCAGTGTACCTGGGGGAGGGGCCCAGTGTGACACATGGTGCCAGGGACTGAACCCCAGTCCCTGTGCTTGCCTAAGCAGGTGCTTAGTCTACTGAGCCTTCTTGCCGACCCTTCCAATTCTTTTTATTTTTTCAAAAAAACATTTATTTATTTATTTAGTGTGTGTGTGTGTGTGTGTGTGTGTGTGTGTGGCCAGCTCAGCCCACCAGGGGGTGGGGCTGGCTGGCATGTGGTGCTGGGGGATTGAACCACGGTCCCTGTGCTTTGCCAAGCTTGTTCTAAGTAGGTGCTTTAGACCACTGAGCCATCTCACCAGCCCCTATTTTTTCATTTTTTATAAATTTTAATGAGAAAGAAATAGTAATTAACCTTCTAGTTCTTGACATATATTTATTTATATATGTCCATTATCATATACGTGGCCCCTGTACAGAACAATGCAATACTTTATAAAAATACATTCTGTACATTCATAAAAGTAGGGCAAAATTACTTACCCACCTGCTGCCACTGGCACTTACCTACTCAAAATGAAGTAGGGTACGCGGAAAGATAACGGGACCAGTGGCCAGCAGGGGAATGCAAGTAGAAAGGCAAAGGGAGGGTTACCGTGTGACAGGCAAGCTACTCTCAAAGCTGTTCAAGAGGCACTTTAAGATTAACCAGAATATCTATTTACAATAGATATATATAAAATATGTTGTTTTACAACTGACAGTATGCATGATTGAACATTATAGATATTGGATGATACTTTTTTATCTAACGAAAACATCTAATAGCAAAACAACATCAGCATTTATAAACTAATAACAGTTGTAACTTACACTCAAACTTATAAGAAAGCCCAAACAAAACAACATCAAACCAAACTAAAATCAATAGCTAGTAACTGTCAGGCATATTTTTAAATTACGGGGATGTAGGCAAAGACAACAACAGCTCATAACTTCAATGTATGCCACTATTGTTCATGCTCCAGTAAATCAGTTTTTCAAGCAGAAAATATTTCTAAACTTATGACTCAAATTTTATCATTCATCTTTATTGTTTCATTCCACTGTCCAGTGAGATGGAGACAATGAAGCAAAATCTCCTCCAATATTTCCTCTGCCATCTGAATGGTAGAAAAGCATAGCCTGGAGTACACTGTGTCTACCTGCCCCACTTTACCTTTTCATGCCAATTCTATAGGTGTAGGGTGGAAGGTAACAAAAGGCACAGACTCCTCCCACGTGCCTAAGCAGTAGGCAAGCACACAGCCAATCAGCTAACCAGTGAGGCCATCCAAGAAAACGCTTTGTGGCTTAAGAATGAAAAGGAGACAGTGCTTAGCTTAAATCTCATTTTTAACTTAATTTAATACTTATTTATTTATTATTTCTAGGGAAAGGCCTACGGGGCATTCAGGATCTCATTACTAGATCAGACTCATAGTGATCTGCCTGTTTACAGCCTCCCAAGAGCTGGGATGACAGGCGCGCGCCAGGCATGGCAGGCCTGGGGATCGAAACCCCTGTCCCTGTGCCTGCTTGCAGGCGCTTTAATCTGATAAACTATTTGGCCAGCCCTTCATTTTTAATTTTAAAGTTTAACAAACAACTTAAAATTTTCTATCCTCTACCAAGAAGTGGTCTTAACCTAACAAAGAGACACCAATACCAGATTCTGAGGATGATTACTTTTTTTTTTTTAATTTTTTTTTTTTTTGCGGTACCAGGGCTTGAACTCAGAACCCTGCGCTTGTCAGGCACATACTTATTCTACTGAGCTGTCTCCCCAGCCCCAGGATGGTTACTTTTGAGTGGAGCAGAAGGAGGTACAAAATCCTGCTGTCTGGGGATCATTTACATAGGACTGTGGTGAGAACACAAGTAGGTGACTTCCATCCTCTGTCCCAGTTCCCCCAAGGCAGCTGTATGTCCAGAATGTCCCATGCTACTCTAGAGCACAGCAGGGTGAAGGATGCAAAGACTGGCAGAGGGTTTTCTCTCCCACTGCTCATGATTTTCCAGATAGAACTATTTAAAAGCAATGACTCTTCCTCACCATCTATGTACTTCTTCCTACCTATATAGACTGCCATGGTTAGGTAAGGTATTTAAGTTACTGAATAGGCTAGTCCAACTGCCATTTGTGAGCATTTAGCTGTGTACTGGCAACAGGCTTTACAAGTCCAAGGAATGGATGTAGCATCTGCTCCTGCATTTATAATTGCAGATTTTAGTTATAGCCAATAGTGACTAGAATTGTAGAAGGAACATAATTGGTGGCTCGAGTGACTTTCTTTTTAAAAAAGGGGAAGTAGCTAATAGAGCCTGTAATTCACTTAAAGCTGCACTGCTGAATGATTAGTTTCCTTTTAAAAAAATTTTTATTGAGAAATAAATATGAATGAGACAGTTTCACAGCTGATTAATAGGACAGTTTTGATAGTCAATATACTGTACACTGTTATCTTTTTGGTGGTTATCCATAGTGCAAGAAGCAGACAGGATATTCTGTCCAAACACTGTTAGTACACCTCTTTCTTCTCATTGA